CAAAAGTAAACTTATTTATGAAAGAGAAACAGATTCACAGACATAAAAAACAAATTTGTGGTTACCAAAGGGGAAAGGGGTTGGGGGAGGGATAAATTAGGAGTTGGGATTAGCAGATACAAACCACTATATATAAAATAGATAAACAACAAGGTCATACTGTATAGCACAGGGAACTATATTCAGTACACTGTAATAATGCATAATGGAAAAGAATATGAAAAAGAATATATATATATATATATATAAAACTGAATCACTATGTTGCACACCAGAAACTAACACAACACTGTAAATCAACTATACTTTGATAAAAAAAATTTTAAACAAATTCGGCAAACGTATCCATGCCGTTGGTGAGTTTTTAAGTGGACAAAGTTATATTCCTTTGTCCACAAATATTTGTTGGTTGTCAATTACGTGGCAGACACAGTCCTAGGGGCTGGGACAGATCAGTGAACAGATAAGCAAGGCCCTGCCTTCATGCAGCTTACATGATGGTGTATGTGTATGTGTATATGGGGTGAGAAGGGAAAGACAAATAATAAACATGTAGAAACCTGATGATGACAAATAGTGATGTGAGGGAAAATAAGAGGTGAAATCGAGGGTGACTCTGGGTACCCAGGTGAGTGACTAATTTACTTGCCAGGGAAAGCCTCTTTGAGCTGAGATTTGTGAAAACCTGGAAGCAGAGTTTCAGGGACCTAGAAGAGGGAGGCAGGTAGAGGAGCAGAGGAAGGCCACAGCTGCTGAAGGGGAGTGACAGAGGCAGGAGAGGACGTGCAGGGAGATTGGACAGAGGGCAGAGATCCCACCATGTGCAGTGGGTCACAGGCCCAGGAAGGGAGGCCCTGCTGGCATCATGCTATTTACATTTTATAGAGACCTGCAGAGGAGATGGTCCAGGGGCAAGAGCAGAAGCAAGGGGACCTGACAAGGGGCGTTATTGCCGTAGTCCTGACAAGAGATGGTGGTGTTGGTGGGAGGTGGTGGGAGTGGCGGTGGAGAGAAGTGGATGTGGTGGAGAGAAGTGGATGCACTGGAGACACACTTCATGGTGCAACTGACAGGCCTTCCTGACGAATTGGAGGTGAGGGACCAGGGAAACAAAGGAACTCCGGAAGTACTCCTAGAAACACTCCTAGGTTTGGGGGAGCCAGTTGGTCTTCTGTTTTTTAGGGCAGTGCTTCCCAGCAGTTGTCATGTCTTGGCTTACCCAGAAGACAATATTTGTATTGAAATGTAGCCGGGAGGGGCTGGCCTCCGGGGCTCCAGCCACCCCAGGTCCCAGTGTCCACTGTGAGCACTGTCTCAGAGAGCCTGTAACCCACTCATGGCAGTTCACCCACTGGGAAGGTCTGCTTCCGGGGGGGAGAAGTTTCCAGCTGGAGCCAAGTGTGTGCTGCAGAGGGAGAGATGGAAATCAAGCTGTGGGAAGTGCAGTGAGCATTCTCAGGACCACAGCACTCCCTCAAGCATGAGAAATAGAAGAGTTCAATATTTTGTAGTAACTGTCAGTGGAGTGCAACATTTAAAAATTGTATTAAAAACCCCCAAAAAACATAACAACAACAACAAAAATAAAAGAGTTCTAGAATTCAGGGCTAGGGCAGATTTTAGAAATGACCTCATCCAACCCTCTCCTTTTTCTTTTTACACAAATATGTAAGACTAGGTTAAGGTCCTCATTCATTTATCCCATGTATAGAGTACTCCAGGTGTGTGCAGCTGTGCTAGTGCTGTGTGACGGTGCTACTCAAAAGTGCGATCCTGGACTGGTGCCCGGTCTGTGACCAGAGGATGCGGAAATGGAGGATAAGCCACTTTTAGGGCAATTTGATATCGAAGTACGTGATCATTGGACTTGCAGTCTCTCTTTCTTTTTTAAAAACTAATTCATTTTCATTGTGTTTTACAAAAAGATTAGTACAGGATGGATTGAGGACCACAAAAACAATAACAACTTTTCCTGGGTTGGAAGCGTGCGCCCCAGAGAATTACAGCTAATTCAGTCACGTGACCATCAGGGCTGCCCTGCTCCCCTCACTTCCCTCCCATTTCCTTCCCTTCAGAAGCACTGAGACAGTCTCAGAGATTTAAGGAGCCCAGTTTTATTCTATATCCTCCTCCCTGATATGAAAAGAAGATGATTCTTCTTGTGGGCTTCAGCCTTTTGTTTTTCTGTTAAGTACACTCATTGTTATGTCCTGCTCGTTCTATCACCCGTTTCCCTTTTTCTTACTTTCGAAGGCTTGGGCTCTTTCTCATTCACACTGGATTTTCCAGTTATTTTCTGCCTTTAATTTTCATCTCTGTGTCTTTCCCCTGCCTCTGCCCATTGGGTTCCCTCCGGATGGGCCTGTGCTGGACCCAGTGCCTGCGGAGTGTAAGACTTCACTGTTTTCTTATTTTTTTCTCTTCACAGACAAGGACGTGCTGTGTAACCAAGTGACCCAGATTTCCCAGGAGCAGATAGTGGTGAGTGGCAGTGAGGTGACACTACAATGCATTTTCCAAACCACATACTTAGATCCAGACTTATACTGGTACCAAATAAGACCAGATCGTTCCTTCTAGTTTGTCCTGCACAGGAATAACATTAAATCCCATGATGCAGATCTTGCTCGGGGTAGATTTTCCGTGCAGCACAGGCTGACCCACAAAACCTTCCACTTGGTGATCTCCTCAGTGAGGCCTGAAGACAGTGCCACTTACTACTGTGGCTTGCGCTCCCACGGTGTTGTAGGTGTCCAGGAAGTCTGCACACAAACCCCTGGGCACAGCCTGGCAGAGCTGCCTCTCCGGACAGCTCATGTCCTTGGACACAGCATCCTTCTTCCCTGTCATTCTGTGGTCCAGTCTGGCCTTTAGAGGTGCCCTAACATGTCTTCCAAATAAGAAAAGGCCTGGTCACATCCAGGGGAGCACCCTGGCTTCCGATGGAGCAGACATCTCCCCACTTCTGACACAGAGGGCCCTGGCTGCCCGAGTGCCCGTGGTGGGGAGGGAGACTGCACGTCTGAGAGACTCTGGTGCCCAGGTCGTGCCTGATACAGAGCAGGGCTTGACAAGGATGTGCTGCATGCGCTGGGAGTGTATCAGGACGGGGCTGGTTAAGGGCCAACTTCAGGAGAGCTTTTTGGAAGTGTCTTTATTTTAGTCTCCATCATTCATCCATTGCTGTGAATTGGCCTGTTTCCTTTTAAGACTCAAATTGAACACAAAGTTACTTACTTTAAAAAATTTCCCTGGTTTACCTTTCATTTGCATCTTCTTGTACAGCCACCTTGTTTCTCCTGGATTCTCTTTGGCACCTCCATTTTACTTACTGGGTTTGGAGAATATTTTTCTTTCACTGAAGACCACTGAGATATTCCCAGAAAGCTGTCTGTGAAAACCAGAATCCCAGCTTCAAAGGCCCTGAGTTTGGAGCTCAGTGGTATCCCCAGGGGAGAGAATTACCTCCAGGGGAAACCAACAATGTGATGTCAAAAATAGATATACCCTCGGCCCTGGGATTCCATCCCTCCTTCCTCTACTTCTGTGGGTGTCTCTTCCTTAAAACAACTATTAGAGTTATTAGATATAATCTTAGAAATAGTAGAAGCCTTAGACGGTATTTTATAGGGAAAGCACTGAAGCCCAGAGAAGTGAGGGACATTTGGAAGGTCGCTGATCTGGTTAATGACAGAGCCAGGGGTGTGGGGCTGCACTTCTGGGGGCTCCCTTGCAGCTGCACCCTAGGAGGTTGTATCAGTAGGTGGCTTGGGCAGCAGTATATCTGGGCTTCAACACAGGCAGGTGGAAAGCAGTCGCTATAGAGAGGGATGGAAAAGACACGCGTGAGGGAGCCAAAGGATCAGGCCAAATGACTCAGCCTCCGGGGATTCTGTTCTGCCACCTACTGAGCGTGTGTACTAATCTCCTGGAGACTCCTTTGGGGTCACATGAGATTCTACACGTGAAAGCTCTGGAAAACTATAATCCACGATAGCATGGTTTCCACACCAGAAGGCAGCCGCAATCCCCTATGGCTCCTGCCTTAAATCTTTTCAGGAGCATCCCTTTGGTGGAAGAAATTCATGGTTCTTTAAAATACTAGGATGCCTTTCGCTGATGATCAAAGTAGGCCAGAGGGTGGCTCATTCATATGCTATGTACAGGACTATCCTGAAGTTCAGCCTAGCTGAACTTCAAAACAAGCCCTCTTCCCTGTCTCAGGGATGTGCTGTGCTCTTGTAGAAGGAACTTGGGGCTGGCACTCCTGATAACTTTGTTCTGCTCCCAGAAATATCGCTGCCTCTCTGAATAACCTTGAACAAGGTACATACCTTTTCTGGGGGACATATTTTTTTCCATCTGAAAAATGAGGATGTGTTGTTTTGTTCTTAGCAACTTCAGAGATACATTCTTAAGAATGGCCCAAGGTAACAGATGGGAATGTTTTGGAAACAGGCATTCTTGATGCACATGAGGTGAAGATGTGTGGAATCTTTTAATAGTTTTCCCCTGGATGGACCTGGCTTATCCATCTAGATTGTCCTAAACTTATTGACTCAGAATGCCACTGCCTCCTTTCTTTGGTTTGGGTTGTGAGGACGTGACATGGGAGTCTGCAGATGGCAAAGATGGGGCAGTTGTGGATGAACGTTGCTCTTTCACTTGTAACCTCATGAGCCCCCGCCTGACAGCCCACATCAGTGCTGAGGAACCCACAGTGCTCGGTTGCTAGACATTTGCTACCTGGGTTTGTGCACCCGGAAAAAGCTGGCCTTGCTGAGGTGGGAGGAGCAGAGCTCAGAGGCCACACCAGGGACGCTGATGTTGTTGGAGTAGCAGGAAACCCAGGGGTGGGTCCCCGAGGCAGGAGCCTGCAGGCTGGGGGCCCAGGAAGCCGTGGTGTGACCTATAAACTCAGTGTGGTTTTTGTCTGGCTACCAGTGAATTCACAGCTCCCCTTACCCCCTGCGATGGTCCGCAATGAGGAAAGCCAGAAGCAAGGCACACACAATGCACTTTAATACATGCAATAGAGACAAAGAAGAATGGCAGAAAACCATCAATACCAAAGGTCCAGTGCCTTCAAACTTCCTGGGCATGGATGGGCAGGCAGGGGGTCATGAAGACACTGTTCTTACAGGGGAAATCTCGGGGTCTCATTCCTGTCCCTCCCTCCCAGAACACTTGCACAATGAGTTGCTTGAAAGCAAGACCCACGTCTTATGTATTTTTGCACCCTCAGTACAATGCCTAGAACTTGGAGTAATTCATGTTCGCTAAATCAATTAATAGAGAGAAACCCATTTCCTCTGCATTTTACTCTGATCTCTGCTAATAACTCTGAGAGTATTTAGATGAGATTGGACAAACCCCATTGCCTGGGCAGAGAGTGTTAGGAAGTCAAATGTAGTTTTGTTTGTCAAATACTAGGAAAAGCAGAAAGTGCCTTTGTGGATGAGAACGCTAGTTTGGGGCAAACCTAGTGCTGGGTTGAGCAGAGCCTTTTATGTTTCGGTAGAAGCCCAGGATCTATTTTCCTCTTGGAGAATGGAGCTAGGAACCCGATGGCTCCTGCTTTCTACTTCTGGAGGCAAAGAATGTCAAAGGAACAAAACACCATTTTCAAAGTGTGTCAGTTGTAGGAAAAAAAATGTGTCCTATATACCTTCATATCTCTATATCCTTTTATAAAGCAGCATGTAAAACAGTTGGGACCATAAGCCCCCACTCTCCAGGACTTCTGTCTTTCATCAGGCTGAAGGATAAGCTGGGTTTGTTGCCTTTAAAGGAAAACTGGTTTGGGAAACAGCCATTTAAGCAAGGCTGGGACAGGTCAACTGAAACCACCAGGAGGTTGAAAGCCTAGGAGATAGCACCTCTGTAGGCTTTTGATTTCTTTCAGGGCGTGTAGCCTTCTCATGCCGGTCAGCCTGCAAGTGAAGGAAAATTGTCAGGGTTATAGAATCATAGACTGTCAGTGCTGGAAGGAATCATAGCAGTCATGCAGTCCTGGGGATGGCCAGTACTTGCTGTGGTTGTACCGTTGCAGACATCACTAATATATCCTGGCACATTTCCCTTCTACACATGGTGATAGTTCAGCTAGTCACTATCAGTGTATCTATGTTGGCACAAGTCATAAAACCCATCTGCTCTCCTTTAGTTCTTCACTCCTTTGTTTTACAGATGTGATAACCCAGGCCCAGAGAGGTGAAGCAACCTGGCCTAGGTAACATAGTGAGTTAGTGACATAGGCAAACCTAAGCCCCGGGTCAAATTTCATGTCTAAGATAACCAGAAGAAGCAATGCAAGTAAAAGGCAAATAATTCACATCTCATCCTCAACTTTGCATGCATCCTGAGTGGCTAGTAGTGAGCTGTTCACTAAGGATGGGAGTATAGGTTCATCCCAGAGATAGGCTGGTCTACACATCGAGTCCTATGATTAAGGATCGAGAGCTGACATCCCCTTTGTCTGGGCAAAGATAAGTTCTGCTGCCCCTGAATATTCTTCAAGTGAAGCTTTACTGACGGCCTTGCAAAAAGCCCATGGTCCCTTGGCCATATAAACAAAATTAGCAGTAAAGAAAAAGATTTCTCCTGTTTAGGTCCAATTTTTTTAGCTCCTGAGTTTGAGGTGAGGATTATTGGCTGGTATTATATTATATTACATGAATTTTGAGTCTGGCTTGAAGTAAAAGGCTAACAGGAGATGGGGTGTTATGCTGAGTATCTGAAAAGGTCCACCTTAGTAAATCATAATATGTCTCTATGTGTTTTTCCTTTCTCAATGCTTCTTACCATTCCTAAACTCCTTTCCTCCATGTGCAGCATAGTTTGGGTGGAGGTAGGAATAAGAAGCAGCTAGTTCTTACCTTAAAAGAAAAATAACTTGGCAGTCAAGAGAAAATTGATGGCAACACTCTTGGCAAACAGCATTCGGAGCCCCAGCACTGCAAGGGACATCATGTTCACCTTCCCGGCTTGCACTGCAATTGAATGAGAATGAAGATGGTGGCTTCAGCAAGAGACTAAATTTCCTTCCAGAAATTGGACCCACAGCACCGAAACCAGCCTGCCCTGAATCACCATCATTCTTCCTGGTCTGAAGCCCAGCTTGGTGCCAGATAGCCTTCAGAGACCTAAGGCTGCTATTCACATCCAGTAAGGCAAGCTTTGGAAAAACCCATGCTTGCAGCCAGGCAAACTCTGATTAGAGAGTCAGAGGGAATCAACTGGGCTCAGGTATGGTTTTTGTTTTCTTTTGAAATAGAATGATTTTGGGCCCCATCTGACAATGACAGAGTTTGCTTTAACCTCAATTCTGAAGTTGGCCCTTTGGTTTCAACTAACCTTGGGGCTCATAGCAGGTCTCTGGAGTTTGAGTTTGATTGATGTTTTCAGGTTCCTTTGGCTTTGGATTTTCTGGAACAAACAGCAGTGGTCAGGGTTACAATGATAACCGAGAGGCTTAAGGTATTTCAGGTTTTAAAACTGGATTTCAGGTTTTACTTACTTAGACTTCAAGTAAGTAAACTAAGGACCAGAGAAGTGACTTGGTTAAGGTCCTATAGCTATTTGCACAGTCAACATACTTCCTGTCCTGAGACTTTTTTCCATTGTACCATGAGGCCCACATGCAGGTATGCCTCTAATTTGTAAGAACAACTAGAATAATTAACACCATGATAAGCTGGACTGCCCTTTGTTATGGCATTCACACTAGATTAGACCTCACATGAAGTTTCAACCCTAGAGTCTTTAGGATGAAGGAGACAGGGGTTGGTGAAGAGGAGAGATGGGGATGAAATAGATGTACTTTATCTTAGATTCCAGTGCAGAGATGCAGAGAGTTTAATTCCTAGTCAATGATGGGAATTAGCCTAAGTCTTGAGTCTGAGCCTAAGTCTCGTTTCCAGCGTGACGCCATGTTGGGAGTGATCTGTCCAGAGTTTACAACTCTAACTTCTCTTTCCCTTGACTTTTCTTCCCCACAATCGCAGCCCTTTGAGGCCAGATAGGACCTACCTGAAGTATTTTTCTTTGGTTTGAAGTCAGTAGAGCGCCAGGTTTGTTTGTTATGTTGAACTGAACATGTCACTGAATCTGGATCTCCATACTGACCAAGCTTGACGGCACTGTACCTCCCACCGGGAGAGATGACGATAGCAGGGTCATATTCTCTTATTATCTTGGATGATTCCAGACTTATAGTTACATCTTTGGGGTAGAACTCCTTCACCAGACAAGTGACATATGTCCCGTTTTTCATGACAAAAACGGATGGGTTGGCAACAGGCTGAATTTCTGCAAATATAATCAATTTATTTTGTGAGATGATTATCCATGTGTGGGAGTTAAACCATGATGTTTTCCTCAATTCCTCTGGGGCCAAACACTACAATCCAGACTTTCCTGCATCCTGTTAGTGACCTGAACTTGTTAGCACCTCTATGAAAGGATGGCTAAGAGAAGTAGACATGAAATGCAGCAGTTTGACTTCTAGTTAGGAGCTGCTAAGAGATATATGGCTGGGAGCAGAGATAGCAAATGACAGATACAAAGAAGTGTATTTTGAGTCTTTTGAGTTTCAAATATTTATGTTTTATTAAACAATCCTCTGGACAATCCAGTTAGGCTGAAAATCTCTCTGAATCAGTTGGTTTATTTTAAATGCATGAGCCCTTGGAATGAGATCAGGGCAAGGTCTGAGGACTATGTAACTGGTTCCAACACTCTGCAGATGGAGGTGTTTGTGTCACTTCAGGGTGTCATCCCCATTTTTTGGACTGGAAGGGATCTGCTAGAGTTAAGTGGTCCGTCTCTCTGCCTTCAGGTGAATTCTTATGTAAGGGACCACCCTACAGTTTCTTTTGAGTCTTTAATCAGAGAATTACAGCTATCATTCTCAGAAGTCCTCAGGAACATAAAACTAGTTTAAGCCCATTTCTTCTTGTTTTGTTCTAAGTGGAGCTGTGGAACACTGGTTACAATAATTGGGTCTCCTCCTGGCCTTCTCTCTTTTCATGCCTCATCTTGGACAATCATCTATCTGCTACTCTGTATATGCATCTTTTTCTTTCCTTAAAACCAGAGTGGGGTTGGGGATTTTTCAAAGGGCTCTCCTGGAACGTGGAAGGAGAAAACCTTCATTGTTTTATTTCACGGCATAGCTGAAGCCACTGATAATAGACACCGATAACCCCAGCAGTAACGGCTTAGAAACCACACGTTCTGCTCAGTCACCTCCCTCCAGAACTGTGGCATTTCTCTCTTACGATACTGACTTTGGTGAGATGGATTCCAGTTGATTTTCAAGGGAGCTTGAAAATGAGTTATAGAGAAAGGAAACTAGTCCATTATAAAGCAAAACCAAAATAACCCTATCTCCTTCGTTACTTAAGAGTGTGACCCAATCATAGTCTGATTTAGTTGGATAATTAAGCCTTTCTTGGGATTTAAAAACCTAATTTCAAAGGCAGTTGCTAATGATCACTTTGGGCTGGAGAGACCTGGCTTGAATAATTTGAATAATGTGATATAACCAACAAGACAGATGTCTGAAGAAGGTCATACACTCAGGATATTGTGCTCTGAATCTGTTACTCAGCATTTCAGATAGAGCATAATGCATTGGTTTGGTAAAACATTTTTCTCAGATCCTCTTTCTCAATTAATGTCTATCCGTTCAAAACAATTGTTTGAAAGTAAAGTGTTTAACCCATTCTTTGGTGTCATGGTAACTAAAGAAAAGGCTATCTGACTGAATTGAACCTTTTTTAAAAAATGGGATGCAGGGCTTCCCTGGTGGCGCAGTGGTTGAGAGTCCGCCTGCCAATGCAGGGGACACGGGTTCGTGCCCCGGTCTGGGAAGATCCCACATGCCGTGGAGTGGCTAGGCCCGTGAGCCATGGCCACTGAGCTTGCGCGTCTGCAGCCTGTGCTCCGCAACAGGAGAGGCCACAACAGTGAGAGGCCCGCATACCACACAAAAAAAATAAATAAATAAATTGGATGCATACAATATAGTTGCCCTATGTAACCTAGTCTATTTTATATTAGACCTAAACCAAAATTTGAAGTTGTATAAAATTTGCACTACATTGTAATCTGAAATTTAAAGATGTAATCACTTATCTTTAGAGAATTTCCAGGCTTTCTCCTTGGTCCACAGACATAATTACATTTCAGCATGTATTGCAAAGTGCTATTTATTTGGGCAATTGTTATTTTATTTTCAGACTTTCTCTTTTTATGAGTACCCATCTAATGCTAAGGTTGTGTGCTGGTAAACAATACAAAAAGAAGTGTATACCTTTCCTGAACAGTTTTTCTTAATTTATAAACTTAGAAGTCATCTATGTTCTAGATTCTCACAGAGTGTCTTACTGGTTCCCTAAGCATCGCAACATGGATAACAAATGTCACTCACAGTTTCAAAGGTCTCTGCCAATATGGGATTTAACTTGAACACAAGTCAGGTAAGTTTGCTCTACCTGATTACTCTGACCAGGTTGACCATTTCTCTCCTAAATCTTCCAGCTGCGGGACATTTTACAGGTGGCAACAAGTCATTCACACTAGTCAGCTTAGCTAAAGGGATGCCTAAGGATGAAGCAACCACCTTGGAGAATTTGGGCCTCTGCCCCTCCTCCACCTGATGCTCCAACGATTAGTGTAATTCTTCTAGATTTCTTTGTGCTTTCTGGGCTGCTCTGAAGATTTCAGAAATAAGTTTTTGTTTTTTTTAAGTAAAAATAATTACAGAGCTACTTCAGCTACTCAGCCTAATATCTTTACTGTGGCCCACTCCATCTGTACTACTCCATCTCCTAGTTACACTTTTTCATGTAATGCAAACTGGATGGCAACCCTAGTCCCAGGAGTCAATTCCTCCCTAGAAATGTATGGAAAAAAAAAACAACTCACGGGGCTCCACGAAGAGTTTGGTGCCAGCTCCAAAAAACATCTGTCAGGTGTCCCAGGAGCACATTGCGATGCTGCCTCACAGGTAACCAGCCTGGGGCTGGCCCTGGGGCCTGGGCTAGAACATCTGTATCCTGCCTCTCCAGCCTGGGTCCCAGCCTAGAGACCCCACCACTCAGAGAGCTACAAAGCTGCCCTTTATTAGATCAGGGGTCAAACTCATAGAGTCTCAGTTCCCTTTGAAGCTAATAATAGTTTAACTGCTGGGTAAGGAGGTGAGCATGAAATCCCCAGCCAAGAAGCACTGGGACAGGGGACAGGGCTGAGACAGAGCAAGAGAAGAGGGTGACAGGTGACTAATAGCTGCCTTCAGGATGGAAAATTTAACATCCCGTTTATTGGGAGGGCTCTCCAAGAAGAACACATTAGCTTGGGAGTAGGGATGGGGCACTGAATATTGACACTTCTTGTAATGAATGTTAGGCCGAGGAGGGTTTAGACACAGATCTTGTTCTCATATTCCAGTCCTTCTCTTGGGTCACAATCCACCTTTTTGATTAGAAACCTAATTTCTTCCCCATCACTCAGACTGAGTCTCACAATAACAACAAACCTACTTTCTAATTCCCTGAGTCCATGGAAAGGCTTTCTAAGGACCTGAGGGTTGAACAAGAAATTGGTAGCTGACAGGGGAGCCCAGTGGTGCTATGTGTCATGGATACAGGTCAGAGAAGCCAGCGCTTGCTTTGGATTGCTTATAATTTCTCTTGAGTCTGGATCTAGATACAAGCCTCAGGAGGACAGAGTAATCATGTGAAATAGAACTTAAGGATGATTACTCTGTCTTATCACCCAAAAATCAAGAGTCTAGGGCTAGAGCTAGGCAAAGGGAAGGATGGTTGTATAGGGCCATTATATGTTGTCAAAACTTTAAGGATTGGGGGTTTGATTTGAAATTCTCAGCCCCCCCTACCTGAGCTTCATATCATCATATTACACTCGATCACTGCAGGAAGAGAAAACCAGGGAAGCAATTGGGGTATCCCTGGAGAGCTCAGGTCAGCATCTCGACAGAGGGGCTAAGCGTCAGTTTCATCTCTGAAGACTTCCAAAGGCACAGCCTCAGAGATTTGACTCTAACACGGCAGATAACTCTGAATCTCAAGTGGAAATGATTTAAAGGGAAAATGAAACACAACACCTTTTGCTCAGATGCAATTTGCCCAACATCAATCAGACTGCAATCAGTTACAACGTGATTCTGTTTCTTTCCTTCTTTTCATTGCTCTAGTCTCTCTCCCTTCAAAGATAAGAAAACTCACCAAATTCCACTATTTCCCTGGAAGCAAGAGGCAATCAAGTATGCCTGTAAGTTTATATTACCCTCTGAGAGACAGAGACCTCGTTGACACTACCAGTCCCTTTCAGGACTGTCAGATCGCCTCCCCACATTCATGTATATTTCCCCACTTTTTATTTCCTCTGAAATAAACAAAATCAGAATCTAACCAATGCCCCATTGGTTTTGGCATTTTGGGAAGCATCTGAAAGACTGCTGTTCTCTGGACTGCTCCCAGTGACTGACTGTTGGCAGCTACCCAGACTACCTGAATATGACCCCTGGATTTCCAAACACTGGAACAGACTGCCAGTGGACAATATCTCTAGGAGAGCACCACTACTTCGCTATTGTCTTGAAGTTGGGGGCTGTGTTTCTTCTTTGGATGTGGGCTCCTGAACCTTTACAGAATCCTCAGATTCAGGGCTAACAAGGGAGGTGTGCACATTACGGTCCTCGGCAGACCCAGACAAGGATGGGACCTTGGAGAACATTTAGTGTGAGCCAGGCAAGATGATTTAATGCAAGTTCTCAGCAAAAAAGAGACAAGGGCAGATTGGCTTTTATCGTCTGAGTCAGAGAAGGCTATTTTGATCTAACTCCTTCTTTTATAATATTTTTCTTCTTTCTAACCCTCCCTCTTCCTACGCTGTGACCATGACTCTTTTTCCTCATAAACAGTGGATTCTCCTTATCTAGAACTTGCCTTTTCCCTGGTCCCAGTCCCTGACCAGAGGGCCAGAAGCCTGACCAAGGGCTTTATTTAAGCAGTTGTAGAAGACTTATCAACACTAATCCTCAGAACAGAGTTTCCAAGCATACGTAGAATATTTTCTTAAGAGAAACCTAGTGAATTTGTCCTCCAATTTTCCCCTGGCTCTTTGTAACAACAACAATGGATTTCCCATTTAGAACCTCCTAACTTCTCAAGAAGTTGCGTTTATTCAGGACTATGCCACAACTCCAAGGGAATATACACACTGAATAAAATGCATAACTTACTCGGTTCCACGATGAGTTGAGTCCCGTTTCCAAAGGTGAG